TGAAGGTACAAGCGACTCCCTCTTCTGTAGCACTTATACTAAAAATATGCCCTGATGCGCCATATAAAGGCACAGAGGTTTCTCTTTCATGTTCTTTATTTATGGTTTGTGCCTTTAAGAAAAATGCATGCAGCTGAAATACAGATATGCTATTATAAAATTATAAGCTTCCTGATAGGCACTGCAACAACCAAGTTATTCTTTAAATATATACCCAAAATCAGGATAGAGGGTGACAGTGACTGAAATGGCAAATACAGCAAAGCAGGCTACTCATGTGACATCTGGAAATGCCAGTGAAAGACGTGTCCCTGAACAGAGGCTGAAACACAGTTTACCTCCACTTACATATGCGGTGGGAAAAATCCCAAGCCACATGAGACACTGTTTCTATTGCACTTTTTTTTTTTTTTTCAAAAATACCATATTTCTCTTTTCCCTAATCCAACTCTGCTTTAAGTACTCCCCAAATCCCAAATCTTGAATTAGCTTCAATTAATTACAATTTTTATCCAAATGCCTCTTCCCTAGCCGCCCAAACACCCACAACAAAGAAAGGATTTCAGACAATGTCAGCAAATGTCCAGCTCTACATGTGTGCTCCTGAGCACAAAAGTGATTGGATTCCCCACTCCGTGCTCAGCCCTAGGACTTGCTTTCTGAACTAACTAAAAGGCTCCTTTGCATCTCCCTGCACCCACACTCCTGCTACCATGATAACTTGAGACCCTAACACCAGAGCTATAAAAATCATGCAAACCATAGAAGACCCCAAAAATCTGCACTTTTTTCACACTGTGACACAGAGCTCCCAGGGCTGACGTGCTGCACGGGGGCTTGGCCACACACCACCAGGATAACCTTCAGACATACTGCAAGCAACCCAAGCGTCAGAGAGGTCATCAGGGCTGCCCTGCCAGCAGGCACCTCTGCCACATCAGCCCTCACAGCCAGGCTGGTGGGAACTGACAAATATGATCCTGAAGCATCAAGATCCTCAGAAGTGCTGCCAGTAATTTCAGTAGGAGAGCGGGATCTGACCTGATGATTTTTATAGACAGGGTGAAATGGAAGCTCCTCTGCTGGCAATGGGAGGTGAAGCAGAACCTCTTTTGTTAGCTGGATGTGGAAATTAGTGGTGGACTTACTTTATGGTTGGTTTTTTTTGTTGCAGTGAGCTCTCCGGTGTGTTGTCCTTATAGTATCACACTGTACATAAAGCATGCTTGTGGTAACAAAACTTTTCTTGAGCAGCAGCTCTCTCACGCTGCAGCATCCCAGCCACCCCAGTAATAAGATTAAGCAACAGCTTGCCAGTCAGGGAGGGGGAGCAGGCGTTGCTGTGGGGAGCACACTCTCCCTCCAACTGACAAACCTTCCCAGACACTGCCACAGAACAGATGGGATTATCAAGCCACCCTTTGCACACAACTGCCCAGCCACGTCCATCCAGCCAAAACCTGCCTGCACAAGGACAGGACAGGGTTGTCCTACCCTGTTGAGGCAGAGGGAATCTTGCCACTGACTGAACTTGGAGCAAAGTCCACAGAACAGAAAGGAGAAGGTACGTTGGAGGGCAGAAAACAACCTCCACATACAACCATGCTGGAGAGCACGAGGGAACCCCTATTCACAGCAAGGCACCACCAGCCCCAGGGCTTTTCCTGAAGGAGTCCTGGGGCTCCCCAAGGCTGGCGGGAGCAGCCACATGCCTGGACACAGATTTATGGTAGGTAAGAAGCCCTGCTTTAAGAACCAAAGAGTCAAAGAAAAGTATTTCAAAGAGAAGGAGAGAACGGAGTTACAGTGAAAATATTTTTTATATTGCTGTCTCTATTAATTCTTTTTGTTCCATAAATTCCATCAAGGCTTCCTATCTTCTGTTTTTAATCTCTGTAGAGAAACTCAGGAAGGCAGCAAAGCTAGATACCTTCAAAAAACTAGGGCACTGAGTTTAGCTGGTTTTCCCTTGGTGCACGTGCCTCTCGGAAAAATTCCTGGTCACAGGAGGTTCTAGGGGAAACTCTCTGACAGGGGCAGCTGGACTGGGCAATCAAACTCTGCCTTTTCACCTTATTGTTAGCATCTTCTGTGTGTTTGTATTACATGCATCCAAGCAAACACAGACACAGAGAAGATGGGGCTCCTCAGAAAGCTTTAGTAAAGAGTCAAAAACTCAGTTTTGAGAGTGTTTTAAGGTTTGTTCCAATACAACAAGGAAATAACCCTCTTCTAAAGAACGAGTTTCACTTGTCCTTCTTGAATGGCACTCAGCATCTCTTAAGTTTCTAGAAATGCAAGAAACATTTTCTAGGTAAATACAGCTACTTTTTCCACGGTGGAGAGTCCATAAAACTGCGTGGAGCATCAGCTATTAGGGGCTCATTGAATAATTCATCCCTCATTGCAAGCCCATAATGTCTTTTCTCGGCCTTTTGTGGGGCTGTTTTCTCTTCTTTTCTCCTTGAATTATAAAAAGGTTGCCTTCTTTTGTTCACATCAAGCTGCTGCTAGCTGAAGCTTTGTCTGTGCAAAGCCAAAGTGTGAGTTTCAATGGACTCCCCCCTCTTTGTTTTCCAAGTTCATCTCCAAGTGTAGATTGTGTATAGAAGGCCTTCTTTGTAAAAGCTGGAAAAGTTGTACAAATGTTTGACCAGCTCATTTGGTACTTTTGTCTCGCCTTCACCAGTGCCTGTGCATGTGCTGGGCAGCCAGATCCACGCACAGGCCGCCCCGCCGGGCCCTTTCCTGCCCCTCCACTCCAGCGCAGCCAGGCAGGAGGGCACAACGGCAGCAGGGGCTGTGGCTGCCCCCGGAGCAGCCCTTTGCCTCCGCCTCATTCAGGTTGCACCTCCTCGCAATCCCTGACCAAGCACCAACACCAGGTTTCCCCAGCAGTTTTAAGAGAAGAAACAGGACACGCGGCTCCCTGCCCACGACTGTGGAGAGACTCGAGGCTCCGTGGCCCGTGGCTACCACTGCCCCTCCTGTGCTGCTGCAGCCTTCTGCTCAGCGTGGGCTGGCCAAGCAGCCCCCGGGGAGCCATGCCGAAGACTTACAGAAAGGAGAAGGTACGTTGGAGGGCAGAAAACAACCTCCACATACAACCATGCTGGAGAGCACGAGGGAACCCCCATTCACAGCAAGGCACCACCAGCCCCAGGGCTTTTCCTGAAGGAGTCCTGGGGCTCCCCAAGGCTGGCGGGAGCAGCCACATGCCTGGACACAGATTTATGGTAGGTAAGAAGCCCTGCTTTAAGAACCAAAGAGTCAAAGAAAAGTATTTCAAAGAGAAGGAGAGAACGGAGTTACAGTGAAAATATTTTTTATATTGCTGTCTCTATTAATTCTTTTTGTTCCATAAATTCCATCAAGGCTTCCTATCTTCTGTTTTTAATCTCTGTAGAGAAACTCAGGAAGGCAGCAAAGCTAGATACCTTCAAAAAACTAGGGCACTGAGTTTAGCTGGTTTTCCCTTGGTGCACGTGCCTCTCGGAAAAATTCCTGGTCACAGGAGGTTCTAGGGGAAACTCTCTGACAGGGGCAGCTGGACTGGGCAATCAAACTCTGCCTTTTCACCTTATTGTTAACATCTTCTGTGTGTTTGTATTACATGCATCCAAGCAAACACAGACACAGAGAAGATGGGGCTCCTCAGAAAGCTTTAGTAAAGAGTCAAAAACTCAGTTTTGAGAGTGTTTTAAGGTTTGTTCCAATACAACAAGGAAATAACCCTCTTCTAAAGAACGAGTTTCACTTGTCCTTCTTGAATGGCACTCAGCATCTCTTAAGTTTCTAGAAATGCAAGAAACATTTTCTAGGTAAATACAGCTACTTTTTCCACGGTGGAGAGTCCATAAAACTGCGTGGAGCATCAGCTATTAGGGGCTCATTGAATAATTCATCCCTCATTGCAAGCCCATAATGTCTTTTCTCGGCCTTTTGTGGGGCTGTTTTCTCTTCTTTTCTCCTTGAATTATAAAAAGGTTGCCTTCTTTTGTTCACATCAAGCTGCTGCTAGCTGAAGCTTTGTCTGTGCAAAGCCAAAGTGTGAGTTTCAACGGACTCCCCCCTCTTTGTTTTCCAAGTTCATCTCCAAGTGTAGATTGTGTATAGAAGGCCTTCTTTGTAAAAGCTGGAAAAGTTGTACAAATGTTTGACCAGCTCATTTGGTACTTTTGTCTCGCCTTCACCAGTGCCTGTGCATGTGCTGGGCAGCCAGATCCACGCACAGGCCGCCACGCC